AACGTTGAAAAAAAAAAAATTTATAAAAAAAAAAAAAGTAGAAAGAAATAGGTGAAAATAATTTTAATAATATATTTGATATAACCCAGTGTATCTAATTATTATTATTTAATCATGTGAGTAGGGCCTGATTGAAAGTCTCTTTCAGGTAATTTTTGGTAATTTGTTTTGAAGTTAAAGAGCATTTCTGTTAGCTCCAGTAGGTTTAGACCATAGTAGGAGTTGAAACATATTTGACCTTTCTGAATGAATGAGAATTTTGTTTTTTTTCTTACACAAACAAGGCTTGAAATCTCCAGAGTAATTTTCCATTGCATATAAAGTGATTTGTATAGAATTTGCCAGGTATAGTTCTTGTTGTTTACAGTGTTATTGCAATAGGTACTTTAAAATGTATCACTTACTTAAAAGAAAAAGTATGTATATTATTATAAAGACATATATATAGAAGCTCTCCTCTTATAAACAAGTGAAGTTGGTAAAATCCATTTATTTCGAAGTTCAGTGTAACAAGGGGGTGTTTAAGCTGAAGGTCTGTGAGTACATTTCCAAGATACCAAAGTGGTAACTTCTAAGAACTTTATATCTGTGCATGTTTTTCCTGTTGATACATGTTTACTGGACATATTTTTTAAAAGAGACCTGATTTATCTGCATTGAGTGTTTGAGACCAAAAACGTCCTTCATCAAAGATCTTGGCAAGGATCTTTGGAAATACCTTAAATGCTGTGGTATCTGCTTTCACTGATATTTTTGCAGCTTTGTGCAGGAATTCCCATGGCTTATTTGAAAAATTTCATCAGCAATGCTTTTATCATACCTAACCTTTTAAAGTTCTCTTATATACTAGTATCTAGCCTTCTCCAATATTAAGAGGCTAAGTGTGAACTTAGATTTTGAATCTTATCAACATATGCTAAAGTGTTTCAAATGCATTGATCACAATTTTGCTCTTTCTTCCTGCTCTTGGGCAGTAGCACTTCTCATGGTTTGTATGGTTTGGTTTTTATCTTTCAGAGTACCTCTTGTCCAACAGTTCATCATGCTAACCTACAAAACTTATTCTTAACCACCTTCAATTATCCATACTTTTATTTTCATCATAAATATGTGTATCTTCTTACCATCCTTCTCAGTTTTAGTTCCTACTATTCATAAATAAGAATTGGTGGGGTAAAACTTGGAAAAACCTCTCAAAACTAAAATTCCAAGTATACTTTGCTTAATGAAGAATAAAATGGGCAAAACTAAATGCCCACACAAGCCAAGTCCATTTATACCATCTGTGGGTAGAGACCATGGCTTTGATCTTTTGAAGTTTTTAAATCAAAAGTGCTTAAATGTTGTAAACTTAATGGGATTGGAGTAGGCTCAGTAAGCTTTCCACAAGTTAGCATGAGAATGGGTAGAAGGGGATCATATTCCAAGGTTTATTAGGAAATTTATATGCTCTGAGAAGTTTTTGTTAATCTCTTATCTAAATGGGCAATTAATCTTCCTTTTGATATTTCTTGAACTTAAAATTTGAGGATTCTTTAAGACATTAAAATCGTAGAATTATGAATGTTTTGGGAGAAAAATCCAGAAAGAGAAAGCAGGGGTCCAGGAAGTTAATCATCTATGGTGGAAGAGTTCTTTGTTGTAATGAATTAAAAAATGCCAGGTTGGGAGGAATCCTTTTATATACATTAATCTTTTTTTTTCTTTTATAAAGATGCTACTGCTTTTCCATCGGTTTAACATTCATATTAAGCATTTTTTTTTTCTTGATAGTGATGATAACTTTGCTCAAAATAGAATAAAATGCTGGCAAGGAAAGTTCCTTGTCAGTATTTCAGTATGAATTTAGCTATACCTTAAAATTTCATGAACATTTTGGTATTAAATTAGACTTAGGTAACCTAAGTATTTTAAGCCCACTTACACATAAGTTTGCCTACTTGCCTGTATCATATAAGCCTGACTTTAGTAACTCTCACAGAAGCCTCATTCTAGTAACTTCATATTATTATTCGTTTATAATTTCATATTATAAACAATTTGATATTACTGCTCTACTACATATTCTATGAAGATTAGGTTATCTGAAGTTACAAATGTGAGGATTTAATTTGTTAAATATCATTCAAGATCCCATTAATTCACTCAGAGGTGCTTTTAAGGATAACACCAACATCAGAAATAGAATTCTATAACTTTTAATCTTTACCATCATCTTCAGCCCCTTCTATCCCTTCACCCATACCTGCCAAAGACAGGTCAAGGGAACAGGAAAACTTGACTCTTTTAAAATTTTTGGTCTTTCCTGAACTCTATGCATATGAACTGTATTTGTCATTTTTTTAAATGTTTATTTATTTATTTTGAGAGAGCATGCATGTGTGAGTAGGAGAGGGACAGAGTGAGAAGGAGAGAGAGAATCCCAAGCAGGCTCTGTGCTGTTAGCGTGGAGCCTGATGTGGGGCTCGATCCCATGAACCATGAGATCATGACCTGAGCTGAAATCAAGAGTCTGGTGCTTAACCGACTAAGCCACCCAGGCGCCCCTGTATATATCATTTTATTCATCCTTTGACATGTATATTTATTTAGTAGATAGGAGAACCCACCAGAAGTTAATCTGATTGTTAATTTTTATTACTTGGGGTTTCATCCTTATTTAACATTGTTTAATTTTAAAATGATGTTTAATTATAATACTAAAAGGTGACCTTATGATGTTTCTTCTTTCAGATAGTCTTTATCTCTTGCAAGGTTCGGTAGTGGCAGATCATGACTACATCGGATTGCCTGAAATTCCAGTTGGAGCATACCAAGCAAATATTCTGGTAGAAGATGCAACTATTGGTGTAGTCGATAATGAGTTACTGACATCAAGCAAAGATGGTGAACTATTAGAATATAGAAGTGCCAAAATCTCTCCATTGCTGGAAGATCATAGTACTCTTGAAAAGCAGACTTTCAGTCTGTTGGACTCTTCAAACCAAGTCCTTGAGTACTTAAGTTAGTAAATACTAAAATCTATTTAAAGTGTTTGTTTAGAATGTATAACACCTTGAATCTTGATATCTTTTCCATTCAAAAAAGTTGTATAGAAGTGTCTTGACACACTCTTGATGACTAAATCCTGAAGTTTTATTTTATAACTATTAATTTATATAAACTTATGTTTGAATGTCAATACATATATATAAAGGCAAAGAAAATATAATATATAGAATTCCCTTTTTCTTCTGAAAAGAGAATAGGCAAAGCATGTTTACTTCTTAGGAAGGAAACTGAATTCCAGCTCAGAACTCTCAGATCTTTCTCTGCTATTGGTGCCATGTTTTCAGTTTAATTTTTTTTTGGAATATTTTCCCCCTTTGAAAAGTAAGTTTGAACTACCTAGAATGGGATTAATAAATATTTATTCAACCATAATGATGAATTAAGTGAAACTTCTTTCTGTGTCATAGGAACTTTTAAAAACAATATTGTAGGGAAAAAATTTTAGAGTTGTTTAATAAGCTCTTAAAGGGTATTGATAATTTTACCTTGTAGGCTCAGAATTTGTATCTGAATCGATGTATTGGTTTGAAAACAGTTGTGCATTTCCATAGTATATATTAAGCCAAAAACACCTTTAATAACATTTTTTTTCAATCTTAGAGAAGTAAATAATGCTAACTAGTATAAAAGATTTTCAACTATAAGCTCTGATATTCTGATATTTATAACTTTATTCAACAAATATTTGTTGTAAAACACTTTGAAGAATTTTGTGGGGAGATTAAAGAATGAGTTAGATGTGTGTCTCATCTTCATAAGGGATTTACAGTGTGGTAAAGATTATAGACCATATAAGCCATGTATAACACAAGTTAAAAATTACATGCTGAAGTCCATTAGAGAAGTACAGGTGATATACAGAGAGTGTCATAAAGGAGAGATGTTAACTTCTAGATAGAAAATTTAGGATTATGCTTACAAAAGAAGGATCATTTGAACGTGACTTTGAAGAATTGCACAGGATGTGATGAGACGGTACAAAAGAGAGGAAGAAAAATGAACAGAGTCAGAAAAATATTATAGTGATTCACAGAAAGGCAGGGCTTTTGGTTGTCTATAGTACCTCAGATACTTACATTCAGGTGTAATGTATGGGAAAATAAAGCTGAAAAGGGAAGTATGAATGAAACTTTGTGGAGGGTGTTGAATACGGTTATGGTTTGAATTGTGAAGTACTAAACTCTGGTACCTCAGAATGTGACCTTATTTGGAAATAGGGTTATTGCAGATGTAAACATCAGTGTAGATGAGGTCATATTGGAGTAGAATGGGGTCCTAATACAATACGACTGATGTCTTTATAAAAGGGAGTAATTTGAACACAGACTCAAGGGGAATGAAGAGGAAGGCAGGGACTGGGCATATATCTTCTACAAGCCAAAGAATGCCAGATTACCAGCAAACCTCCAGGAACTAAGGAGGAGGCATGGAACAGATTCTTCCTCACATGCCTCAAAAAGAATCATCCCTGTTAACACCTTCATTGTCGATTTGTAGCCTCCAGAACTGTGAGGCAATAAATAACCTTTTTTATACACAACCCAGTTTATGGTACTTTTTTATCGCAGCCCTACCAAAGTAATACAAATACCTAGCTAAGTTATTTTTTATTTTCTGAGGGCTATTGAAGGTTTTGTTTTTGCTTTTTACTTTTTTTCTTTCTTAATATAAGTTCTACACCTAGCATGGGACTGGAACCCATGGCCCCTAGATGAAGAGTTGCATGCTCCACTGACTGAGCCAGTCAGGCACCCTCACTGAAGGTTTTTGTATAGGGAGGTGTCATGATCAGAAATACGTTTTAGGGAAGCTCCTGCCTGGGTGGCTCAGTTGGTTAAGCATCCAACTTCAGCTCAGGTCATGACCTCTCAGTTTGTGAGTTTGAGCCCCGCGTCGGGCTCTGTGCTGACAGCTCAAAGCCTGGAGCCTGCTTCAGATTCTGTGTCTCCCTCTCTCTCTCTGCCCCTCCCCTGCTCGCACTCTGTTTCTCTCTTTCAAAAATCAACATTAAAATTAATGATAAAAAATACATTTTAGGAAGTTTAATCTGATAGCTAATAAAGATTAGAGGAAGAGAGAAGAAAAGAATGGGGATTATTTGATACAGTTTGGCAGTGATGCGTAATGGGAACCTAAACTGTTAATGAATAGAGCATATTTTAAGATCAACAGAATATCCCACACATTATGTATGAACCTTACTGAACGGTGATATGATACTGGAAATAGAGACCTGAGATACTGTAATTACTCATTTAAGAAGAAAGATTATGGGCACTTGGGTGGCTCAAGTTGGTTAAGAGTCAGACTTCAGCTCAGGTCATGATCTTGCTGTTCATGGGTTCGAGACCCATCTTGGGCTCTGTGCTGACAGGTCAGAGTCGGGAGTCTGCCTCAGATTCTGTGTCTCCCTCTCTCCACCTCTCCCCCACTCATACTATGCTGTCTTTCTCTCTCTTAAACATAAACATTAAAAATTTAAAAAGAAAGGAAAGATTAAATTATGTTTAATATGGGCTAAAGGATACATGATTGAAGGAAGAAAAAAAAAGAATCTGGGGCCCTATACCATAGACCAATTAAATTCCGGGTAGGAGTCCATAAAGAAATCTTAAGAAAGCATAGTTGTCCAAAATAGTGATAGCTATCATGCTCCTCCCATCAGCAGAACAGGGTTTGTGATGATGTCATATTGGGCCCTTGATGGTTAATGTAATTGTCAAGTGTCCCTTGCTCAAATGACTTTCCTCCAATGATCATCTCATTCAAAATCAGCCTCTTTTTCGTTGTAACAAGGTAATTAGTAATGAGTCATTTATTTTTTTAATTTATTTATTTTGAGAGAGAGTGTGAGTGCAAGAATGGAGGATGGACAGAGAGAGAGAGAGAGAGAGAGAGAGAGAGAGAGAATCCCAAGTAGGCTCCATGCTGTCAGCGTAGAGCCCTATGTGGTGCTCAGTCCCACAAAGTGTGAGATCATGATCTGAGCTGAGATCAAGTCACACGCTCACTGACTGCCACCCAGGCACCCCAAAAGTCATAATTACAATTTCTAGACACTCTAAAAAAAAATTCTGCCTTCCCTAACTAATTTATGATCAAACTGATCTTTATCCTGTGTGCATTGATCATGGTGGGCTACACTATGCTGTCTGTATGAACGACCCCAAAAATCTTAGTGACTTAACACAATGAAAGTGTTTCTTAGCTACATTCTTGGTTCATTAAGGCCTTGGCTCCATTTTTATCCTCACTCCCAAGAGACAAGCTGGTGTAGCCTCACCTGTGGAATACCGCCACCACGGTAAGGGGAGAACATAGCAAACCCAGCACCATGAAGAGACTTGCTGTCATGTCATGCACAACCTTCCATCTCCAATTACGGTGGTCAAACCTAGTCATACACTGCTAACAGGTACAAATTTCTTTTTGTGGCAATGGTACAAAAGTCCTAAAGTTAATGGTGTTAGTTGCCTAACTGAAAATATTAAAATCCACTGAATTATACACTTTAAAAGGGTGATTTTATGGTGTGAGAGTTACATCTCAGTAAGATTATTATAAAAAGAGTCTAAACCAAAACTTAAAAAAAAAAAAAAAAAAAAAAAAAAAAAAAAAAAAGCTAGCCACATGGCCACACCTGTAATACCTAAGGATAGTTAAGTACAGTCTTTATATTCCTGGAAGGAGGAAAACTGAAATAGTGGTGGCTAGCTATAATAGCTGCCTTGTTTACCTTTGTTTACAAATTCTATTATAGGCCATTTTGATGACAGTTATTTTTACTTCCTGATAAATAGCCAATACAAGCTAGTCATATCAGCTGCTGATTTTATTGCTGAAATCTCAGGATTCTAGTGTAGTCTAATTTCAAGTACAGATTATAAGTAAGCAAATATACACCAAAAATAACAAATTTTGTACGTGCACGGTCTCATCTCTAATGTTTGCAGGACTCTCCGTGAAAATGGAGGTCCACATACCATATGCCTAAATAATGAGAAGTTATAAATCACACTAACAAATTGTTCCTACCTTGGCAAACATGCCTTCTTAAGGTTCCCAGAATTCTCGGACTCCTCGAGCCCGGCACTGATGAGCAGCAAAGCAGGGCGAGCTGGACTCAGCTCTCTTGGTCCCAACGCCGTCCTGTCCCAAGGACAACCCACCCCCAGCTCCTGCAGGTGTGCTGCTTCAGCGGTCCAGACATTTGGAATGTGCTTCCCAGCTTCATCCACTGTCCTGGGATGGCCCAGGAAGGCCTTGGAAAAGGTTCTCCAGGTGAGGAGGGACACGTCCCCAGTTGCTGTGATCTTCTTACCGTGTGGGGAGGGACATATGATAGAATGGGACAGAGCCTAGCTCTCAAGCAAAGGGTCCAGGGTTGGAGTCCCTCTTGCCTGGATTTAAGGGAGGTTTTCTATAAGTATATAGTAAAGTTTTGACAGATGTCCAGAAATGTCTTTATGAAGTTTTGTATGCCACCTTGTGGTGTACACTTAAAAACATGTTATAGTAGGAAATGGAGATGCTGGACTATAATAAAAGAAAAATATATTTTAAATGAGAATAATATCTTTGAAAAGTTATTTTTAAATTTTGCTTAATGGTTATTTTTGAGAGAGAGACAGAAACAGAGTGCAAGCTGGGAAGGGGCAGAGAAAGAGGGAGACAGAGAATCCAAAGCAGGCTTCAGTCTCTGAGCTGTCAGCACAGAGCCCGACACAGGCTCGAGCTCACGAATTGTGAGATCATGAAGTCGGACACTTAACCGACTGAGCCACCCAGACACCCCTTGAAAAGTTATTTTTAAATATCATGATTAACCTGTGAAGTGTAAAATTTTCCTATATGACCATCTTAAAAACAACTCACTAAGATTTATAAAAGAAAACTTACCACATGGTTAGTTATCGGATTCATTCATACAATAAAAAAAGGTATGTATTTAAAAACA